TTCAAGATTAACACTAAAATTATATATATATATATATAATGACACTTTTTGTGTCTAAAATAATTGTCTCTTCTATATACATTCCAACAAAATGTAATTTTTTTTATTATATATATACATCACACTAATAGATATTATATTAATAAAAAAAGTAAATATTGGTAAATTCCAACAAATCATTAAATTTGTCTTATCAATATCTACTTTTTAGTAAATATAATATTTATTGATATGATGTATATACATAGTAAATATGCTCTGCACTTTATTAAAATATATATAAAAAAGAGTTTTCTTTTGACATTAAGGGTGTCCTTTTTTATATATGCATTGGAATTTAGAGTTTTACACTTAAGAGATTAGGATTTTAAATAAAAAAATTAATTCTTGAATTAATTAACATGAATTAGAACCTAATAAGTTATTGTTGGATGCATATGTGGACGATCTAGTAAAATCAAACCTTTATCGCTTTTATCCATATTGATTTAATTATATAGACTTTTCCCACAATTTTATTCAATTGAAAAAATTTACAAATATTTCTTTATTATTTTTCTTTAAATTTTGGTAATCAAACTATATATATATATATATGAGTTAATCATTCATACACTATTAATAAAAAATTTCACTGACAATCAATTATATTTTTAAATTATTTTATTTTATTTTTATTTCATTAAATAAGTAACTAACATGACACTATTAAAATATATGATTAGTTGTCAATGTAAAAAAACTTTACACTGATAATATATAAGTGATTAACTCTCTCACTCTATGTATATATATAAAATAAACGCGCAACATACAGAAACAAGTCATCCCTCAAATGCTGATTAAAATAAAGAATGTAGTACAAATGCTGATTAAAGTAAAGAATATAGTACTAGAGACCCTAAAAAATCAGTGTCTTCTGTCGCTATCTAAGTTCCGAGAAGTGTAAGCTTTTGTACTTACAATGGATGGTCCTATTTATTGGAAAACCATTGCATGGGAGTCTTTTCCTGTTAGCAGATTGGTAGATACAAGCATAATAGGGAAGAAAATAAAAATAAGAAAGGTGATGCAGATTGGTTTGGCTAAGATTGTATCAGGCTTTTGGTTGAGGCGGTTTCACGTGCCTTTTTGGCAAAGTTATGATTGTAAGTTATGTTATGTATTAACCATATAAAAGCAAAGAGTCAGTGAGACCGGAGGAAGTTGTTGTGGCTAACCCCACACCCTATTAATGTTCATCACATGTATTTGTATTATGTGTATATATGTATATATCCCCTCTTGGTCCCCACCCTTGGTTAGCTAAATCCTTATTAAGAAGGAAAACACCTGGGTTAGGTACCTCGTTAAATGGTGTTTTGTTCAAAACAGAGCATTTCTCCATTTCCTATTTTGGTCGAAATCAACCGAGATATGATAATGACAATAGGATTTAAGAGCATCTCCAATAAGGATTGCTTATACTCCCTGTATCACATCATTGCTACATTAATTCTGGTCTACTTTATGAGTTGTTTAAATTTTAGCAAAATAAAAGTAACTTTGCTAAAATTTAAACAACTCATAAAATAGATCAGCATTGATGTGATAATGATGTGGCACAGGAAATTACTTATAAATAACCCCTATAATAGAAACATCAATGATTATTGATTAAGCACCACCTCAAACTTAAATATCAGGAAAATAACACTGTCCGGACTCCGTAGTTAGGACACTGTCTTTATGTCTCAGGTTTTCTTCATGCGTCCTTCTCCATGTTTACTCCATTCCCTTTCTTCACTAACCATGCAAAATTAGATATTTTGTAATTCAGATGAAAATAAAATGAATCATGGAATGAAATTATTAAACATTTCTCATTATCCACTTTTACTGTTTTAAATTTTCATTCATTTATCTTTTCCGTAATATTAAATGTACATATGAAATAATTTATTTAATTTATTATTTCTTATATAAATCTAATAATTTATTGAAAAATAATATATATATGCAGAAAATGTGGAACATTTATTTAAAATTTATCATGTACAATAAATTTATTAATTTTTATGAAAACTACTTAAAAATTATATATACTATAAATTTGTCATCGGTTAATAATGTAAAATAGTTTTATATATTAGCTCTAATTTTAAATTGGTCCAACTGGTCTTTCTTCTCCAACAAAGTCTCTAATGAATATAATTCACACCAGATTAATTAACCAATAATTAAAAGCATCACGAGATTGAAGTCAAGTAACTTGAGGCACATGGCGACATTGCTTACATGGGGTCAGTTTGAACTTTCAAACGACATCGGAACTAACAACTTCCAGATCCAGCTTGACGCCAAAGCTGGCTAAGCATAACTTAAAACTCTGCCATAATAGCATTTCTATCAGCACAATTTGATATTTCATTTAAATGGAATCAAATTAAACTATATATTATTTTTATGTTTGATTAGGATAATTTTTTTTCTGAAAAACTCAAATTTAACAGCGAAGACCCTTCTATCGTAACATATAGTATAGCATAGGCATATCATCGACAAGTGAAGCTGTAGGTAAAAATATTTAACTCGAAGTTGCTTAAAGACGCATCAGTCCCTGATTTTTACCACGCTTTATAGACGGCTAGTAATGAGTAGTCACTGGTAACGGGGGTTGGCGGACCACAATGTTGTGTTCGTCTGAGGAAAAAGTCACACATTTGCTTAAACAATCAACCACACCAATTAATTGAAGTACTTTCTCTTCTTCATTCGGCGGTTCCTTCAAACTTTGTAGAGGTGGTAGACAAGCACACATTTATGAATTATGAATGTGGTCTTCATTCCAAAGATGTTAATTCAACTTCTCACACCTTATATATATACCCCTTCCCAAGCCACCAGTGTTACACTGTGATCCATCAAGTCTTGCAACAATAACCATATTCATAATCATGGCTAGTTCTTTAGTGTGTTGTATAATAGTGACAAGCTTGTTCATGTCCCTAAGTTTTGCTTCTGCTCAACCAGCGCGAGCTTTCTTCGTTTTTGGCGATTCACTCGTAGACAGTGGCAACAATGATTTCTTGGCTACCACTGCACGCGCTGATGCTCCCCCTTATGGCATTGACTTCCCATCACACAAGCCCACTGGACGCTTTTCTAATGGCTTAAACATCCCTGACATTATTAGTATGAGTTTGTGCCATGTTTGAAAATTAGTCAACATGTTGAACTAACTATACTACTAAAAAGTGAATGGATTTGTGACCGAATTTAGTGATGGAAAATTGCTTTTGCATGCATGCATGACTGAAAGTTGGGCTTGTTTCATGTGTATGATGATGTGAAATGGTTAATTGCAGGTGAGCAACTTGGCTCGGAGCCTACTTTGCCATATTTGAGCCCTCTACTCGTGGGAGAGAGGCTTCTAGTTGGTGCCAATTTTGCTTCCGCTGGAATTGGAATTCTCAATGATACCGGATTTCAATTTGTAAGTTTAATTAAATTATATCTAAATACAATTTAGAAGTGTTTTTAGAACTTTACTACTAGAAAAGAAACTCTTTATTTTTAATACAGAAGTTAAGATATTTTTAAACTTTATTCTAACATGTTTTTAATTTACTTATATATATATATATATATATATATATATATATATATGTAAATTGTTTTGGCAGCTGCACATCATCCACATCTACAAGCAACTGAAGCTATTTGCGCATTACCAGCAAAGGTTGAGTGCACATATTGGTGAGGAGGGAGCTCGGAGTCATGTAAAACAAGCACTAGTCCTCATCACTCTTGGAGGCAACGATTTTGTGAACAATTATTACCTGGTCCCCTATTCAGCAAGATCTCGCCAGTTTTCTCTCCCAGACTACGTGACCTATCTCATATCTGAGTACCGCCGAATTCTCAGGGTATTAATTTCCCAATAAATACTATATCTTTCATCCATGCACGCCCTTTCATGCCTAAGAATTTGAGATTGCAGAATAACAGAGATCTTTAGTTTAAAGGGTAATAATAGTGATCCTATAAAATTAATATTTGTCATAATCCCTCAAGGAATGAATCAATAATAATAGAAAACTTTTATAATAAATTATGTTAAGCACATTAAAGATCACCGTGTACATTGATTACACTATTTGGATCTTATATACGCATGCATGCACATGCTTAACGAATGCAGAGGCTGTATGATTTGGGAGGTCGTAGGGTTCTTGTAACGGGTACAGGACCAATGGGGTGTGTGCCAGCAGAGTTAGCCTTCAGAAGTGGAAATGGTGAGTGTGACGTGGAACTCCAGAGAGCTGCGTCATTGTATAATCCACAACTTGTTGAAATGATCAAAGGACTCAACATAGAGATTGGTGCTAACGTCTTCATTGCTGTAAATGCATATGAAATGCACATGGATTTCATTACCAACCCTCAAACTTACGGTAATTACTTAATTTAGTTTTAGGTCCAATTTCTCTTTCTCTTTTGTTATTTCGCCTTTTAAACTTTTGCTATGGGCTTGGGCCAACAGGATTTGTTACATCGAAAATAGCTTGCTGTGGGCAAGGCCCGTTCAATGGGGTTGGACTCTGCACACCCGCTTCCAACTTGTGTCCAAGTCGAGACCTATACGCGTTTTGGGATCCATTTCACCCATCGGAGAAAGCTAACCGAATCATAGTCCAACAGATGTTTACTGGCTCTGCCCAGTACATGCACCCCATGAATCTTAGCACCATCATGGTCCTAGATTCCAGGGTTTGATTTCCCCAAGTTTTGTTATCTGATGATGATGATCCCCTAGCTAGTGTCGTTTGTGGCTTGTCCCTCTGATATTGCATCGTTGTGAGAATTTTTGTGTGTACTGGAGAATGTTAATTATTGTGATCATATATGGCTAGCTCTCAACTTTATGTGCTCCCTAAAAATGTTGTAGAAATCTGAGTAAAACTCAAGTCTTGTGTATGTTTAATGGTGGATAATGCACGTGAGCGATGCACATTTAACGGCCACTCCAAGTCATAGTCAAGTTCTGTAAATTAATCTCATCATGTTCTAAATGTTTTAACTTAAATAGGGTTGCGTTCCACAAAAAAAAATTGTGATTTAGATAAAAACAATAATTCGCAGGTTGCATAAGAAAATTACTTTTGGAAAATTTAATCATACATTAGTTTAGCCGGATCTACAAGAAGACAGCTCGCGATACAATTATTTTTAAGAAATGTATACTTAATATATGAAGAAGACTATACTTATTATTATATATTCATCTTTATAATACACACTAACTCGGATATATAAGATGATAGAATCAGGATGGGTACATGTGAAAATTCTATCAGATTCAATTGTAATGAGAAGAATAAAAATCACACTAATTTAAAATAACATGTCATGCATACGCTACGCGGTAATAAGTGAGGGCCTGCACCCACAATATATACAAAACAGCCCAAAAGCATTTAAGAGCGTATCAAGCTTAGGTAGCAATTCCCATATACATAGCTTTCAATAAATAAGTAGGACCAAGAAAAAATGCATGGTCTCGATCTTTGGGCATGAACAATAGGTGGTGTATGGTGAAAACATGGTTAAAAAGGCCAACCTACTTTTAAGTGCCTTTAGATCTTCTAAAAGAGATTAGTTAAGTAAATCCAGCCTTGCCTAGATCACCAACACAGCTATCATCTACTTTCAAAACTACAGTGTGTTTTTCTTATTCGGAAGCCATTTTTTGACCCACCTATCATGTTTAATTGGTATCCTGCCTGTAACATGCATAAATAAGATCAGCAATATTATGCACTTTGAGGCAGATGTTGAACATTGAAACTGTCATTGTGAAGAAATTACTACAGTACTGTATTAAGTAGTATATATGAGACCATTAAGTGCCTATGGTCTCCTATTTCGTACCAATTTCGGAGGCTTTTTTTGTGTTCCCAAAAAGAAAAATCTTAATTAATCGTATTTATTTTCTCTAACAAACTTATAAATTTAGTATTGCTATTATATCCTTTTCCTTTCTTTTTCTCCTTCTCCATTTTCATAGAAACAATGTATAAAGACTTGGTACACCTATACATACGTACATGCAATATTAAAAATATATTATTTATTTTTATGGGCACAAGCATTTTTAAAATGTTAAGGTCTCTGGTTAAAATTTCTACAAATATTAAAACTTGCCGTATTTTATGGTCACAAGTACGTCAACAAATGTTAATATCTCTGGTTTTATTTTCACATTTATTTTTATGGATGTATCACGAGGGCGTATTAATGTTTGAACTTTATTACTGGCGGGCGGGGAGGTTTATTTTTTTTTTACCAAAAGGGTGGTGTAATTTTTTTTAAGCTTTTAAATTTTTTTAGAAATAGGGTAGGTTGTGTTTGTGAAACACGATTTTCTTTTAAAAACATGGTTTCTTTTTATTTATTTATAAAAATTATGTTTAAAAACAAAACTTTTATTTATTTTTTTTATTTTTTCAAAGGCAAAATTGAGAGACAATACACACGACTTCTTTAATTTTTTTTAACATTAAAATAATAATTTTTGTGTAATTTTTTTATTTATAAAAAAGTTATGTTTTCAAAACACGAGTTTGATTTTTTTTTTTTAAGAGAAAAAATATAAAGTAAAAGTCATGTTAGAGAAACACGACTTTGACTTATCGTATTTTGAAAAAAATTTCAAAACTTGCCCATTTTCAGAATTTAAAAAAAAATTACACCCTTTTAGTAGAAAAGCTATATGAAAAAGAAATAAATGTGTGTACATGCAAAACAAAAGAGAAGTGAATAAGGTGCGAGTTTTTTTTTCAGCCATGACTATCTTTTAGTACACTAGACCAAAGACTAATATTGGTTGCAACAGGGTGACTATAGCGAGTTTTTACACATGATAAAAATTAAGTACAGGTTGAATACGAATATATAGATTCATGATAAAAACTAAGTACGGGTTGAATGAGTATATAGATTCATTTAAAATTAACCTAACATCATGTACTACTTAAAGAATTTGTGCCTAGTGCCCACTAAGCTACAGGAGACAATTAACAGGGTAGCTAGCTAGTAATTTACAGCCAATCAAATGGGTAGCTAGTATCCTTATAGCTTGGTAGTAATTTATAGACAAATAAAGGCTGGAAATAGTATTTTCCCGAAAATTAATTCTATTACTTTAGGCTAGAGTCAAACAAAAGACGAAACATATATGCTGCAAATATCCAATGTTCTTCTTTTAATTTAACGGGGGAAAATTCCAGCAGAAACATGGGTGGAATCAAATTGCCAATGCTTCCACTAGTTTAGTTAATTACATCACAAAGGCTTAAACGTATACATAGTTAAGTTTCTAAAAAAGGGTCAAATCTACCCACAATATATGATGCATATGTTTGCATGAATAATTTGTTAGATAATGCTAGAACCAGTGCAGTTGTGTCTGGTATAACCTCCCAAAGTCGCGACCTTAATTTTCAATACAACTGTATTAATTATCCATGCAATTAACCACATATGCAAAATGCAACTACCTGTGGGTCATTGATTTTTAAAATCACAACCACCGAGTCCGAACTATGCAAGACCTATTTCCATGCTTGCACTTGACAAATCTATATATGTGTGCAACATCTCTTAGAGTAGCCACCAATCACAATTAATCCTCTTCATCCAATCATGGCTAGTTTTCCGGTTTTCACGTCTTACATTGTTTTGGCACTAGCAATTAGCAGTTTCAATTTGAAGGGGGCAGAGGCAGCTCGTGCCTTCTTTGTGTTTGGTGATTCTCTCGTTGATAATGGCAACAACAACTACTTAATCACCACAGCTCGTGCAGATGCTCCACCTTATGGCATTGATTATCCAACTCGCAGACCCACTGGCCGTTTTTCTAATGGCCTCAACATTCCTGATTTTATCAGTTCGGTTCACCTCTCTAATTTCGATTTCTCCATCCTTAAATTGATTTGTATTGCTTAATATTATATAGTGTAAGTTAATTTTTGCAGGTCAAGAACTTGGGTCAGAGTCCACGTTGCCATATTTAAGTCCTGATCTAGACGGGGAAAAATTGCTTGTTGGTGCCAACTTTGCTTCTGCTGGCATTGGAGTCCTCAATGACACTGGAGTCCAATTTGTATGTGAACACACATAAATATAATAATAATATGGACCGTCTGATTCACATGTGCGATTCTGTTGAATGACATGTCGTTTGGTATTGCAGGTAAACATCATCAGAATGTCAAGACAAATAGAATACTTCGAAGAATATCAACGAAGAGTAAGTGGCCTTATCGGAGATGAGAAAACAAGGCAATTAGTAAATGGAGCACTAGTGCTTATCACTTGTGGAGGTAACGATTTTGTGAATAACTACTACTTGGTGCCTAACTCTGCTAGATCCCGCCAATTTGCTTTACCAGATTATGTCAACTATGTGATCTCTGAGTACAGTAAGATTCTACGGGTATAATTCTCAAACTATTAACCTTCTCTATGTTATAAGTTTCTTTTCTTTCCACACATATATATATGGCCTATCTCTATCACCTTATAATTTCCTAGACAAATATCGTGCGAACGCACACTGCATGACATGATAATTTGGTAATATATATGAGTAATGCTATAATGGTGATTGGATCAGAGGCTATATGATGTTGGAGCACGTAGGGTGTTGGTGACAGGAACTGGTCCACTGGGTTGTGTTCCAGCGGAATTAGCCCTGAGAGGCAGAAATGGTGAATGCTCAGAGGAGCTACAGAAGGCCTCGTCCTTGTTCAATCCACAGCTTGTTGAGATGACTCGACAACTCAATGAGGAAGTTGGTTCGGATGTCTTCATTGCAGTCAACACACAACTCGTGCACGATGATTTCGTCACTGATCCACAAGCATTTGGTAATTAGTTAAATATTTAATATATATATATATATATATATATATTGATGATCCTCCTGCATTCACCTTTACCATACCAAATATCATTACGTCCTTAAATATTTTTCACACGCTTAGCGAGCTTAGAAGAGAGTAGGCTTACAATTAATTTTACATATTACAACAATACAAAAGTCAACCACCCTAGATCGGGACCAAAGGAATAATGCACTACACCAAAATTAATTTTTTTTAACTATTAATTTATTATTTAGTGACTATATAAATGATCATTATTTTTTTTACTAACATTTAAATAAAGATTGGTGTATCCAGTATCGCTAATACTATTACCGGCATTTATATAAAATGCTGGTAAAGATCTATTAAATTGTCAGAAAAATTTATTTTTTTTAGTGACAATTCTAGTAGTCATTTTAAAGGCTATTAAAAGTTATTTTTTTCAATTGTCTTCTTTATTTTAAATAATTTATTCCTATAATTTTTTTTTCTAAATTCATAACTTATATACTTTTTTTTTATCTCTATTCGATGTGGAATTTGTAAGATGAGAGTTGTCTTTTATTTATATATTTTTTAATTTATTTTTTTAATTGTCTTGTCTCTTAAAAAATGTGATATTTATAAGGTGAAAGTTGTTCTCTAATTGTTTTATAACACTATTAAATTTGGTAATAATAGGTGATTTGATACCAATTTGGAATAGTGTATTAGGAGTCAATCCTATAAAATAAACCTGTAAGGTGATAGTTATTACTCACTTATATACTATTTAATTATCTTATCTCTAATTGATGTAGGACTTAACTTTTTTCCAATAAATAATTGTCATTAATAGTAAATTTTAGTGTAATATAAATATATTTTTAGTAGCTATTATATATTAGCCATTAATATTTTTATATATGGCGACAATTAAATTATTACCATTAAATAATTGTCATTAATAACAAATTTTGTTATAGTGATGGGAAGAGAAATAAACTAAAAGAAACCTACAAGTATATGTATATGCATTATTATTAATAAAATTAATTATATTGATGGATTTTAACTAGTTTAACTATTAATGTATTTTAAATATAATTTTTATTTATGAAACGAAGAGTTAATTTTATATTATAAGCCAATTATAATGTAAATTTAAAATATTTATATCGTGAGGTGTGGATATGTAAGATCAATACATAGTATCTGCTACATGTATGGATCGGAGGCATACCTATTTCATTTTGTCAAAAATATTTAAAATAATCTATTCATATTGTTTTATTATTTAATAAAGAAATATAATTCATTTTTACCGGATTATTTCGTACAAAAATAAAATGAATATCCTATTACAACTTTATGTCCAAATTAAAAGATTGAACTTTGGTACTAGATTAAAAAATCACTACCAATGACTTAATTTTGGTATTTTTTAATTTTTTAATAATTACTCTATTTTACAACTATTTTCACATGGTTCTCGTCATTTTTAATATATACTAAATGTGAGCATTCACTCTTACATTAAAGGCTTTTAAGATTTTTTGAATAAATCACATTATTTTCACATGGAATCTCATATTTTATTTTACGTGTTCAAATTATATGAAAGAAAATTTGAATCTGAACTAACAATTTGTTGCATGCACGCAGGATTTGTTACGTCAAAAGTAGCATGTTGCGGTCAAGGACCCTTTAATGGTATCGGACTGTGCACGGTGGCATCCAACTTATGTCCAAACCGTGACGCTTATGCGTTTTGGGATCCATTCCATCCATCGGAAAGGGCTAACAAGTTCATTGTTCAGAAGATTATGTCAGGAACCACAAAGTACATTCACCCCATGAATCTCAGCACCATTTTGGCCTTGGATTCCAAGAATATATAGCTACTCCCATACACTACAGTTACAGAAAAAGCTAGCTGCGTTAAATTTGTGTGATATTTCCGTATTGGAATGTCCAGAAAAATAAATTTGGAGCCAAATTAATGAACGATTAGTTCCTACATATATCACCTAATGAACTAATAAACATGTTCTGGTCGATCCAATGAGAGTACCTTTACTATAAAAGCAAAGAGAAACCGCATAGAGAATCAGTGTTTGTGGGCACGCGCGCTCTTATAAAGACATTTTTAAGAGTTCTATTTTGTCTTTCGTCCTATTCTTATTTGGGTGATATAAATAATTTTGAGGCATCTAGTATATATATATATATATATCACAGCTTGTTGAGATGACTC